CTCCCCCGCCCACGTGGTCGGCGCCGCGCGCGCGCCTCCATTGTCCCGGCGGTCGCGGTGACGTCACCCGCGGCGCCGCGCGCTGATTGGCCGATTCCTGAGGGAGCACCGGAAGTGGGCGGAGCTTCCCCTCTTCGCCTCTACTTCCGGTCGCGCCGCGTGGTCGGAGCGGGCCCGGGTTACTTCCGGTCACGTGGCCGGGAATGGAATGGGTAAATGGCGGCGGTGACGTCACGACGCCGGGTGGTGACGTCACCGCGGCGTTTCTCTACGGCAGATCTCGCGAGAGCGGCCCCGAGGGGATGGAGCCGGACGGGGTCATCGAGGTCAGGAACTGGGAGGGGTGAAATCAAACTGGGAGGGACTGGGAGGGACTGGGAGGGGTTAAAGTTAAACTGGGATGGACTGGGAGGGGTTAAATCAAACTGGGAGGGAATTGCACCTTACTGGGATGGACTGGGAGGGGTCTGAGCCAAACTGGGAGGGAACTGGGCCTTACTGGGAGGGACTGGGAGGGGTTAAATCAAACTGGGAGGGACTGGGAGGGGTTAAATCAAACTGGGAGGGAATTGCACCTTACTGGGATGGACTGGGAGGGGTCTGAGCCAAACTGGGAGGGAACTGGGCCTTACTGGGAGGGACTGGGAGGGGTTAAATCAAACTGGGAGGGACTGGGAGGGGTTAAATCAAACTGGGAGGGGTTAAATCAAACTGAGAGGGGTTAAATCAAACTGGGAGGGGTTAAATCAAACTGGGATGGAACTGGGTCTTACTGGGATGGACTGGGAGAGATTTGGGGGGGACTGGGACAGACTGGGAGGGGTCAGAGCCAAACTGGGAGGGGTTAAATCAAACTGGGAGGGAACTGGGCCTTACTGGGAGAGACTGGCGGGACCATACTGGGATGGACTGGGATAGACTGGGAGGGGTTAAAGTTAAACTGGGATGGACTGGGAGGGAACTGGGCCTTACTGGGAGAGACTGGGAGGGGTTAAAGCCATACTGGGGCAGACTGGGAGGGGTCGGGACCATACTGGGATGGACTGGGATGGACTGGGAGGGGTTAAAGTTAAACTGGGATGGACTGGGAGGGAACTGGGCCTTACTGGGAGAGACTGGGAGGGGTTAAAGCCATACTGGGGCAGACTGGGATGGACTGGGAGGGGTCGGGACCATACTGGGAGAGACTGGGAGGGGTTAAAGTTAAACTGGGA